TTGCAATATAAAAAAAAAAAAAAGTCCCCCCCCCACCAGCCGAAAGAAACAAAAAATAACTTGTAGTTCTCCACTATTCAGCTCTAATCCTACCAAAATAGATGTTGTGTAAAAGCAGCTTGTAGGAAACAGGATGGTATGTTTAATTCCTACAAATACCTTGTGGTCATTGCTTGTCCTGAATCCATCCTTATTTATTTACTTATTATTCTTGCATTCCTTGTGGAGATTAGCGGGTTGCATGACTTGCTGTAGCTCTGTGCACGGTCCCAAGAAAAGATTAAATAGGAGTGGTAAGAGGGTTATAAATAAAGCATGCCTGATTGAAGGGGCTAGAATTAAATCCCTGTTTTTTGTAGGATTGTGGGTTGAGGGAGGTGGGGAAAAAAGGGCTTGCATCTCTTCTACTCCAGCCAAATCTTCAAAATGACTGGAAAATAGTGTTGCTTTCTGAAGAGGGGCCTTTTCCTTTCTTCTTACTGCAGTTTTGAACAGAAACTCTGTCACGTAAACTTCATCTATGAATTACCACTCTAATAGCAAATTCAGTGAAGGGTACTTGTTTTGACAGTTCCAGCATGTTTTTATGACATCCTGAACATAACTGAGACCACCCACAACATGTTTCTAAGAGCGATTGCCATGTGATTCAGCATTCAGTCTGCCAGGCATCTGTTACGTACGGGAGGGAGGTAGGCAGGTGGTTGCTTTTCAGTGGATAATACACTAGTGCACCAGTGCAGCCGTGGGCAGGAGGCGCTCAGAAATCATTGGTTCTGGGGACAAACTAGGAATCTGGGAAGTCAGGAGGAAATGTGTTTACCTGGCAGCTCTTGTGTGTGTGAGAGTGCAAAGGAGCACTTGTCCATTGCATGGAACGGAGAGGGTCCCCCCAAAGCCATGAGGCCTTTCCTTGCTGAGAGCTGGTGTATTGCTAATCCTTAATTTTCTGTTGATGTTACATCTTCTGTTGAACTGAAGATAAAACGTGCCATGAATGCAGAGAGAACTAACTATGCCCTCACTGGCTGTTCGAACCAAAACTGGTTTTTGCTTCAGTCAATTGTATCAGTAACTTATCCCCATTGTACTCTCATTGCATGTTTCATCTTTGGCTTTTTAGCTTTGTCTGAATTATCCCAACACCTTTACTTTACATAACTGAGTGTTGACAGTGCTGTCTGGTTTATGGGTTTAGTAATGTCTTGCAATGTGTTGAGGAAGAATTAGAAAAGGAAAATGGGAACATCAGTTGCTGAGTGTCTGTTTATTGCCAAGTTCTTATTTTTACAAGATAAATCTTCCTACTAATGGAAGAGCAAGTCATAAACGTACTTTATAAAATCTGTGTTAACCTACAGTTTATTTTGAGAAGTTAAAGAAGAGGTGAAGTTCACTGCAGACGATAAAAAAGCACTATTAGTTTAGTATGGAACTAAACAAAAAGATTGTATGGGGCATAACCAACCTTCCCTTTAGCCTATGGAAGCGGAAGATAGTTTTCTTTGAAGCTGGACAAAATGTCTCTTGCCAGACTGGTTAAGGGTCTTGTTATGAGAGGACTGTCACTGGCATCCTTTGCTTGATCAAGGACTGGGGGCATCACGGGCCTATTGCTCCTGCTGCTGTTTGTTTGGAAGCCCAGTCCAATTGCCTCCTTGGATTTACAGAGAAAAAAAATTAGGAGATGGTGGTGGTTAGTGCTATTAAAAAATGAATACGGAGTTGTTGTTTTGGTGTTGGGAGGATTGAGGGAGAAAGAGTTAATCATAACTGTGGAGAGACCAAAAAATTAAAGATCACTTCAGACTAGCTCTAAGCTGCTCCTTCCATACTTAGTGAAGACTCAGAAATTCCTATGATGCAAAGTCTGTATTTTCTTTTATTCCTTTTCTTAAAAATGAGTATTCACAGTAATTTCTAACTACCTAATGCTTTGTTGTGACCTTCCAAGTAGAAATTGATTTAGGCACATGAAATCTGTTCATTCTGGAGATCTGCAATGTTACATTTGTATTTGGACTGAGTAGATAAATTCATGTTCTCTAGTCATATTTACAAGCCATTGAGTCTCCAGCTTTCTGATTGCATTGTAGTATAGTGTAATCTGTAATGATTACATTACATTACAATTTTTATAGGGACTTTCTTTTAAGGAAGGGTTTACAGTGATTTAGGTCTTACAAGATGGAAACATGAAGGATTTTTTTTTTTAAATAAACTAAATAATTCTATTTTTGTAAAGAAATTTCTGGGTACTTTTTATGTTTTCTTCAGCTAATGCTTCTTGTTTTCAAATGGAAGTTGTAAAATGTTTGTTTCTGTAGCATCTTTTTAAAATGCATGCGCAAAGGTGGGGGGAGCTACACATGAGCATGGGTTTTAGGTTTACCACAGAGTTTCATACTGCACTTTTAACATTCATATTTCCTCTGAAAGGTCATAATATAATAGGTCATTTAGAGGTTAAAATGTAACTATAGGCAAAAACGTGTTGCCAGTCTTCTGAGTGCTTTGAACTCCAGTGAGAGACGTTCTGGGATGGAGAGGCTAAATGGATGTGGGAAATGACTATACTCCTCTGCCTGGTGCTGTGGAGACCTCAGCCGAAACACTGTGGCCTGAGCTTCCAGAAGGATGAGGATAAATGTTTAAAGAACGGTAGAAAGAGAGGAAATGGATTTCTAAAAGTGATCGATGAGGAGAAAAGTTGAAGGATTTGTTTTTTCCCGGGAAGAAAATACTGAGGGGAGAGCTGACTTTCAAAGTATAAAAAGCTGTGATAAGCAGGACATGGATCAGTTGTTATCTGAAGAGAGAAGTAATTTGTTTCTCTTTCAGTGAGCGATGCAACGCTAAAGAAAAACCTTCTAAGGATATTTAAGCACAGGCTGTGAAAGCCCTTCCCTAGAATTCAGTAGACATCTGTGATGAATGTTTTATACGTGATCCAGCTCCATGTTTCTGTAATTTAGTGAATTGCGTGCTTGGCAGAACAGGGGAAGGAGGAAATAATCTTACTACATGCAAACATGTTACTTGCATGTATTCATTTGAATAAAGATAGCAATAACAAAGTAAACCAGAAGAAATAACAAAGTAAAGCAGAACAAAAAAAGAAAAGGGAAGAACAAGACATTGAAATCTACAATTACATTTACACAAATAATCACATGTGGTTAAAAAAAAGTTTGTCATCATAAGGATCGTACTCTGAAAGAGCTACAGCTCACTTCACACACAACACTCTCAGTGTGCGGTATTTCTGTTCAGGCAGCTGCTATCTGGTATATGCCTCTCATGCCTTCTGCATTTTGAACAGTAAAATTATTTTCAGATAACCACTTTTTTTAATTGTGTTCTGATAATACATACGCTGCAAGCTGATCACAGCTTAGGTGCAATATCAGTGACTGGCAGGATGAACATAACTCCACCTTCCGATCCTGACTCCTGGTGTTCTCTCTAATGCTGTGTGGTCAGGCATCACTGCTGCTATGCTGCGTTGAAGATCTCCATATCAGATCAGGATACCTGTGTGCTGCCTGTAACACAAGCATGGAACAGAAAACAGGCTCTGCCACTAAGACCTTGCTATCTGCAGTAAGAGACATCAACGTAGGAGCAGAAGCATGGGAAGAAGTGAAAGCAAATAAGGTGGTTTTGACCATTGTGACAGATGAGTGGTCTTAGTGCTTCAGCTGTTGGACTCTGGGATTTTTGAGAAGAAATTTTCAGGCGGTCTTTGATAAATAGTGGACATCAGAGGTGTTTAGGGTGCCCTTCCTGCATGAAGGGTCTGCCTGCAAGAAATAAAAAGTGTTCTCCTTTGACAGCTTTAACAAGTGGATGATAAAGGCTGGCACACTTGGCAAATCAAAATCACCATCTCAATAACATATGATGAATATTAGAGACCTTGGTCATGAAAGGGCTCAAAAGTGGGAAGTAGCATGAGCTTTTAAATGAAGGAAGGGAGGCTCTGGAGGAGTGTAGAGAGAAGTGCAGTGACAGAGTAATAAGCTTAAAAATGTCTTTGCAACAAAGTTGCACCATGGAGATCATGTACTTAATGATGAGTTGAGGGTTTTTTATATCTCTTGGATATGATTAACTAGAAAAAAAAGTCAGCTCAAAGATGATGTGCCAGGAGGATGAGTGACGGGTGACCTGGAGTGCAGTAAAGAATAACATGAAAGGACCGAGTTAAGCATTAGAAGCGAGACCCTCCATATAAGGATTGTGGGTCTGTTGTCTTAGAGGTGAGGCAGTAGGTTTAGAGGGAGTA